GCGGCAACAACAATACTACAGCGAGAATAAAAGTTACGCCTTCTTTCTTTGCGTGAACATTTGGGCGGCGTTATGCAAATCTTCCCACATCGGTGACATACACATGTGGGGGTGTGTTAGAACGAGCCGTTTTAGGTAGACGTGGTTGACTCTTAACTTTTATAAAGAATATCTCTTTGGATTTGAGACTTTAGTCTTTGCAACTTTACAGATCTTCTTTATGCACCAAGAGCTTGTAACACTCCAAAGAGAAAGGAAAAATTGAAATCGCATCATATGACCCCTTTAACGCTGGGTTCTTTGGGAAGCTGAACAATTTAAGGTTATCTTTCCCTCACAACCAAAAACACACTTTTTTAGTGACTGTTGATTTCATGGTCCAAAAACAAAATGACAAATTCTTCTCGAGCAAGTCCTGTGCAGCGCTGCCAATGACTTGCGTAACCCAAATAAATCACCTTGGTGGCATGCTCTTGCTCTCGCTCTGATTGTCGTGTGTCCGTTCTTCCGGCAGAAGTGCCCTTACAAGGAATCCCACCCTTTATGACGTCATACAGGGCCATACTCGAAAAAACTTTCCGAAACTTATACGAACCCTGAAGAAGTGTATTTGGCACAGATATACTCCGTCATACGTTCAACTTGTTTCTTGAGACTGCCATGTTTGGCATGAGAATCCAACTCTTTAACAGTGTAAATAAGTCAGAATGCATGAAATAGCATTAGACCTCCCCTTTAACTGTTTTGGTCAATGGTTTTGGCCCTGCAAGTCTGTTATTAATAGTTATTGATTCGGCAGAATTTTTTCAGTTGGTTTCAATTCATCAGTACTTCAAACCCAAGACTTGAAATACACATAATGCCAAGTAATTGGTCTCTTCCATTGTAGACTCGTTATTAGTCCAGCAGGTAAGGTCAGCTGAGCTGTTCTCTTGCCTCACAGGTACTGCTTGGAAAAGGAAGACTCCAGTGCGTATGTGCTCTGTGATGTGATTGGCCGAACTGGATTGGACCATGAATGGAAGACAGAGTGCTGTCGGGTTGTCGGTGACCACGAGAAGCCCCTCATGTTGCAGTCGCTCTGGAAACCCAAGGATGGATTCTCCAGGCGTTTCGAGATCCAGAAAAGAGCAAACGTGGAGGCGCAAAGTGCCAAGAATACAGATACCATCACAGCAGGTATTGCAGCAATTTATTGTGTGAACGTATAAGCGGTTTAGGGCCTGTTCATACCAAGGACAATATCTAAAACAACTAAGTTTTAATAATATTTCTAATTCTGTGAGAATAGTATCCACACTACAGCCGATGAATCAGAATCAATAAATTAGAATCCATCACCTTTAAAGTGGCAGACGACAAAACTGGGCGCTCTTATAATAATCAGAATGTTATCATGCATTGGTGTAGACGCTGATATAGTTATTGTTGTAGTTATTGTTCTTGGTGTGAACGGCCTTTAGAGATGTTTTGACTAGTTGACCTTTGATCTACGTATGTTCCAGTTGACTCAATTTAGGAATGTTTTAACAGAGTGAGGTGCCTCACGGCTTATCCCAACAAAAGCCTGTCAGCAAGAAGCTTAGTGAAATTGCTCTCTCAGAAGTATGTTTTATTGGGATAGTCCCATCAGCTCTCACACTGAGCTTTCCCACCGCTCTCCAGCCGCCAACATCGAAATGGCCGCTTGTTTTTCTTTCTGAGCGTGTTTCCTGCACTCTTGAGGGTGTTTTTTCTTTGGCATGGGGCTGTGGTGTTCCACAGGGTTCCCTTGAGAATCGATGACTGGGGAAGCTCGGCCCCCATCGCTGTGTGTTCTGGCAGAACAATGTAGATGACCGCCCATTTCCACAGCTGATAACGCCTGGGTGTGAAAGCCTGAGCTCTGAGAACATTTCACAGCACTCTTCAGTTCTGTTTATGTTACGTCACCAGTGTTGGGGAAAGTTACTTTTAAAAGTAATGCATTACAATATTGCGTTACTCCAAAAAAAGTAACTAATTGCGTTAGTTACTTTTTTATGTAAAGTAATGTGTTACATTACTTTTGTGTTATTTTTTCTCATCTGGCCTGGCCTGGGCTTGCTTGTTTGTTTTAATATAAAAAGTTCTATTTTTGGCAAATGTAATAGCCCTTTCACACCTAAATTTCTTATCGGTATGGTTAAATTGGATCAATGAAGGTCAGCGGCACTGGTTAATAAAATGGGATTAAATACACAAAGTGTTTTTTTGTGTTTACATGTTTAATTATCGCAGGTATCTGTAATATTCTGAGTTTGCTTTTCACAGTTTTTTCCTCGTTTTGAGGAAAACTGGATCTGTTTTTGTTGTGGGTAAATGCATGTTCACATTTAGTCTAGAACTACAGTAACATCTGTTGTGGAATTTTCTTGGGTGCGGCCAATGAAGTGGAGAAGCAGAGTTCCAGATGTCAAAAAACAAGACTTTATTTAACAAAAAACAAAGCCGGGAAGACAGTCACAGCATACCAAATCATTCCAAAGTCTCTGTTATGTTTAATTATCGCAGGTATCTGTAATATTCTGAGTTTGCTTTTCACAGTTTTTTCCTCGTTTTGAGGAAAACTGGATCTGTTTTTGTTGTGGGTAAATGCATGTTCACATTTAGTCTAGAACTACAGTAACATCATGCAACAACACTCACAAGGCCTCTGCACTTAAACACCAGGAAAGGTGTCAGTCAATCAATGGGAAAACAAAGTAACTGGCGTTACTTATTTGAAAAAGGAATTAAAAAGTAATGCGTTGCTTTACTAGTTACTTGTAAAAAAGTAATCTGATTACAAAACTTGCGTTACTTGTAATGCATTACTTCCAACACTGTACGTCACTCCCATCCATAGTCATCTTATTGCAGATCGTCTAAACAAAATGTGGCAGATGTACAGCTATATTTAGAAGAATGTATGAAAGCATAATTGTAACGTAGTTCATAGTTCGGGAAGAAGGAGGCGGGAACCGGCGAAAGCTCAAAGAAAACTTTAATAATAAAATAACCACAAAATAGCGCGACAGCTTAAACCATTTAATTGCATTTCATTTCATAATTTTATGAGCTTATGCTGCTTTAAAATTGTTGCTCATGCAGTAGAAGTCTGACTAAGCCATAGTCAGTGCTATTATCCTCTTAAGCAATGGTTGTCTATAAGTTTTTAGCATGACAATGTGAAATTGTATACATTTTTTAAGTTGAAGTCATATATTTTAAAAACATTTATCACCCCAGGCCTCAATGCCCAAGCCCGAAAGCTGCAGCATGCTCGTGCGCGGGTCACCTCTCTGTTTGTGGATGGGACGAATGAGGGGCTGGATGCTCTGGGTATCTGGAGGAGCTTGAGCGACATGGACATCTCCACTATGGGAAAAGAAGCCAGTGAGACCCATAATGCACCTCTACAGGAGGATCCAGAGGCAGAGGCTGATAAAGAGGCTCACCTCCTCAACGCAGAGAAAGAGGAGACGGAAAGCAGCGATGACAACAACACGCAGTACTCCATCCACCTGCCCTTTGATTTCCCATATTTCCTTCTGCTGCAAGGATACAACCACAGACAGGTAGGACCTTCAGTGATGTTCTTATTTTGTGTATTTGGATTAGGGTTATTTTTAAAAAAAAAATAGCCATCCATGGTTTCCTTTAGGATTTTTCTGAAACCTTAAACCTTAAGTATTAAACTTTTAAGTGCATCTCTTCTCACACTGTTGGCGCTATGCGTCAGTGATTTATGAAATTGTGTGGACTTCTGAGGAGAACCTTTGGCATTTAAGGTGCATTCAGTAGTTTGTTGTTAATTTAAAAAACTTTTACATGTTAAGATATAAATTGTGTGTTTATAAAATGTCGTCTGAATGGTGTACCCTTCATAAGAGGAAGACAACATAATAGTTAAATCTGGTGCAGGTCGCCCCCTCAGTGTACTTAGCCATGTTGAAATGATGTGACCCATGGTGTTTCACTATACATCCTCACACTCACTGCTGTCTCTGTAGATACACTAGTAGTATAGTGTAGTTTGGTGATGCGAAGAGTGAAAACTTGACAATGAAACACACTTTACTTTACAAGTAGAGGAGACTCAATACCTGTCTCAAAAGACAGAAAACAGAAAAAACAGGCAAAGACAAAAAAAGAGTGTGAACATGCAACTAGGGAATTTGTGGGATCTGTACTGAAAGTATACAGAGAACAGTGTTGCTAATGCTAACTAAAGAACTACTGAATGCTGCTTTTGAAGTAGATGAAAAATCTCACATTTTACATTAAAGGAAGGGCCTGAGCCGTATATAGACCTTGTATTAATGGGTCAGTTAGGCCCATTTAAATTTTTGAGTGGTCAGAAACAGTGGTTAACTTATGATGTTTTGAAATTTTGTGACTTTTTCTCAAACTTGCCTGCAAAGTGGTGAAACTTTGATATGTTGTGGAATTTGCGTACAACATTTTTTGTCAATTCAACCCACATATTTCATTGTTAGAAGCAGCTGAAAACTTATTTTTACTTGTTTGATTTGATGGTATTTACGTTTATATTTTTGCTGTTATCTGAAGAAACTTGGACTACATTGAAGGTTTAAAATTGTATCAGTTTTTTGCACACCCTGTTGAACAAGTGGCTGCTTCAGTGTTATTTGACGCTTTTTTTGTTCTTTTAACCTTAATATCTTACCAGCATCAGTCTTAGATGCTACATATCTGTCATATAGTGGTCTAAAATCACAATATTTGTCAAAATAACAAACAACCAAAGCACACTGTAATCAAATGTCTCTGACCCCAGTTTTAGACGCCTTTCCAAACCTTACATAAATCATTGGTGCATGTTGCTGACAGTGCCGTAAAGTCTTGACTTAAACAGTTTAATCTGGTGAGGAGTATCCTGGCTGGTTGCCACTCACTGTAAAGAGAGATGGAGTTTTCTTCAGGATTGGCCCAGGTCAGAGGGACAGGATTTGGACAGACAGGTGATCCATGTGTCTCTAGGCATCCTGGGACTGGCCGGCAATGGGAGAGGAGCTAAACTGGAGCTCTGGTCAACAACGAGGGCTGTTACCTCTCACACAGGAGGAGCCGAAGCGTGTGAGAGAAACACACTGAATCCCACAAGCCCTTCATAAACCCATAGATCCAACAGATTAAAGGCAACAGCGAAGAAAAAAATAGACTGAGGCCTGTTCACGCATTTTGAATTTCAATGCTCGTATTAAAAAAAATACCCGTATGTATATCCCATATGTACATTTTTGACTATTTCTGATTTTATGGTTGTTATTAAAGCAAATATTCTAAGTAGTAACCCAGAAATGACATTGGCCACATTAAATTGATCAAAAGTGACAGTAGAGACATTTATAATGTTTTCTTCATTTATAAAGATTTCTACTTCAAAGAAATGCTGCTCTTTCAAACGTTTTATTCACCAGAAAGTCTTGAACAAAACTTGTTCATGGTTGTTCAATCATGGTTTCCACAAACATATTAAGCAGCACAACTGTTTTCAACATTAATAATAATAATAAATGTTTCTTGAGCAGCAAACCAGCAGATTAGAATGAATTCTAAAGGTAATGATGCTGAAAATTCAGCTTTACATCACAGAAATAAATTACATTTTAACATATATTAAAATAGAAAATAGCTATTTTAAATTGTAATAATATTTCATATTATTACTGTTACCGACCTCTATCTTTTGAATGATAGTGTATGTGTATATCAAAATGTATGCAATGACCCCAAAAAGTATTTGGAAACACTTATCATGTCTGAATGTTATTTTATCAGAATGTTAATTAGAGTTTTTCTTCTGGATGTAAGAATTTCACCTCAAGATCACATAGGTGTTCTATCAATATTATCCACTAACTTTTCAAACCACAAAGGGTCCAGATACATTTTGTCTTAATTTGGAACAGTATATACCTATTAGTTCATTCTTTCAAACTTATTTTTGTTAAATAATGTTTTGTGCTTGTGCCATTTGATTCCATCACACCACAACAGTTGAAATTAATTTGATTAATTAAATAACAAACAGATCTGTAGTTCCATCCATCCACTTGTCCTTTGTAGGGTTGTGGGAGATGCTGGAGCCTCCACTGGATAAATGGCCAGTTCTTTGCAGCAAATCTATAGAATATAGAGTATAGAATATAGGCACATTCTCTCTCTTCAACACCACAGCTACAGTCATTCTTCTATTGTTTGTAGAACATGTTAAAAGTAGCAATCTGTGGGAAAGCCAAGCACATTTTTAGAGACAGCAGCTACCCTGCTATTCCTCATTCAGTGTTACTGAGTAAGCATTGTCAAGGGTGTGTGAGTTTTTACATGTTCACTCTACACTGGAAAACCGTAACCATACAATGTGACCAGAGAAATAAACAGACATATTTAAAATAGACATGAAACGCCATTCACAAGCCATTCTTTAAGCGTTTTCAATGTGGCATGTTTACAGTTGAAACAAAATATTCAATGAGAATCCATCTACAGTTGATCTGATTGCGAAAAGTGAGTGAAATGGAGCCAGAAAAAATTGTTTCAGAAGCAGAGACGGTTATTATAATTTCATTCAAGATGTTGAAGATGAACATTTCATTCATTTCAATTTCTTGCTTAAAGCGTATGCATGTGAGAGAGCGATAAACGGGTTTGCGGTTCTAGCAGTAATTATATGCGTATTGTCTCGTTTAAATACTGAACTATAATCAGGAGTTAGTGAGGACTTGTGAAGCGCTGCACTTTACTGAAGGTAATAATCAGCATTGTTTACTAAGCCTGCGGTGAGCCCTGGCAGTGACACGACTCCTTCTGCTACGCACTGCTGTTTCTCTTGCTTTTGGCCACAGGCCCTTGAGCCTCCACATTTTTAGCTGGAAAAGTTAGTATTCCTGTTTCACAATGTCTACACTGGATTTCTCCCATCCTATTATAATCAACAAAGCAGCGTATACTGGAAACTCTCGACTTGAGGAAATGTAGTAATTAAATTAAAATAGACATAGTAAATGTGGTCTCATATGGGGTTGTTTTTCCCCACACAAATGATAAGACATGCTACTAACTGTATGTGTCTGAATTCAGGGAAATTCCGATCATGTGATTTTTACATCAGTGATTTGAAATGTTCCAACAGCTAAATATGATGAATTATGTTGACATCTACAGAGGGCTTAGATGTATTTTTTTGTCCACTTTAGTCATGATGGGGTCCTCAGTCTATTTCCAGTGTGTGTCAAGCAAAAGAGTTTTGTAAATGGGTGAATGAGAGTGAGTTTACAGCCTAAAGTGCTTGGGAGATTATCTTGGGTTAAGGGACTTAGATCAGCTCTATGTCAATCACTCATAGTCCTGAGAGGCGCTTCTTCAGAGCAGAAGAATCATGTGGTTTAGCAGCACAAAGTGGATCAATCGATTAACAGTGCAGTCTGTTTTGACACCTCAGTTTAAGCAGATGAAGAATTTAGACAAATCCGTCTTTATACTGTACTTCCTCCTTCTGTTAAAATCAATTATCAGTGCACTGGGATTACATAACACATTGATTCTTGAGATGTGAAACAAAACATGTCCCACACCTTTAACTGACACTAGTTTAAAATATAACAGCTTTTACACTTTGAAATTAATCAGAGGTGTTTGAATGTACCTAATTTTCAAAACATTCCCACTAAATGCACCTGTCTATAAACTATAATTCAATACTTAATATTGATTAAAATGTTAGGCCTAAATATTTATAATTCTATCTTTAAAAGTAACATGGCACAGAAGGGTTTTATGTAATGTTTCACAAATGTACCTCAAAACTATACTTTTTGTAAAAACTAAAGATATTTATATCAATAGATTTTTATAAAAACATTTATCAAATCAAGCAGTATTAAACTCAACCTTTGCATAATTCTAGTGCTAGTCCAGCAACATTAATTCTGCTAAATGTTATTATTTAAATATATAGGTAATTATATGTAATTTTAGGTAATCACACAAATTGTAAAGAAAATGTTTGGGATTTTTGGATTATTTTTCTATTTTAAGTAGGTCCTGGTAGTAGCTAAAAACATCCCAAAAATAAAATGTTTACTGCATTTAATGCAAAATATTATTATATTGTTAACACAAGAAATAATTAATAATCAGTGCTAATGCTAGAGTTTTCAATATTTATAATAAATATTTAACGTGACAGCACATAACATTTTTGTATCTAGACAAGTGGTTCCCAACCATGGTCCTGGAGGCACCCCAAAACTGCACGTTTTGCATGTCTCCTTAATCAAACACGCCTGATTCAGGTCATCAGCTCATTAGTAGAGACTCCAAGACGCCCAAACTCGGTCCTGGAGGGCCACTGTCCTGCAGAGTTTAGCTCCAACCCTAATTAAACACACCTGAACCAGCTAATCAAGCTCTTACTAGGCATAATAGAAACTTCCAAGCAGGTATGTTGAGACAAGTTGGAGCAAAGCTCTGCAGGACACCGGCCCTCCAGGACAGAGTTTGGACACCCCTGCTCCAAGACCTGAAATTGGTGTGTCAGAGAAAGGAGACATGCAAAATGTGCAGTGTTGGGGTGCCTCCAGGACCAGGGTTGGGAACCACTGATTTAGACCATGTTGACCCATATTGAGTGTTAGGCAAGGAAATAACTTTTTTTGAGAAGATGAAGGCAAATACAGTTTTACAGATTTATCCCAAAATCTCTAATCCCTGGTGTATAAATAATTTCCCCCCACACGGTTTGTCCCAGTACTTAACAGTCAGTGAACTCTCTGAAAGTTAGTTTTGTTTCAGATTCTGCTGGCGCACATTAATAAAACCTCCTGTTTTTGCTGTTAATCTCTTCTCAGGACTTTCTGATCTATCTGATGAGTGGGAACAGTTGTATATTTGGCTCCTCCATTGAATCCTCCACTGGTAACAATGAAGAGACCCTAAAAGTGGACGTCCTACTCTTTGCCCCTGACATCCTACCTCAGCACTGCTGCGTACAGCGTCTAGACGCCACCAGTGACCAAACCAAGGGAAGTAGCAAGATGCGAACCATGCTCAGACCCCTCCACAGCGCACTTGTTACGCACAACGGCGTCCCCCTTGATGACGAGGTTGAGTTGTGTCCAGGGGACCTGGTGGGGCTCGGGCAGCACTATCTCTTTATGTTCAAGGACCCTACGACCTCAGGAGCCTTCCAGACCCCATCCTGGATGGCCACTCTGTGTCCTCCAGCCACAGCATCACCCTGTAAACTGTGTGGAACATCCGTCAGGAGGAGGAGGACTCAAAAAATGGCCGCCCGCTGGAGGGACTTGGAGGGCAAAGTGCTCTCGTTGTCCTATCAGGTGCAGCATGAAGATCAAGTCTTGGAGAAGATTCTCAGTAGGGTGGACCCAGGAGGGGAAGAACCCAAACTTACTCCAGCCTTTCTGCTGTGTTTGTGCATTCAGCACTCCGCCACCAACTTTGAGTTGGTTGACCTCCGGAAATTGCTGCTCTCCATTGCTAATCAAGTCCAGCTCACCATGTGGGTGAGTGGGAGTTTATGGAGTACAAAAAGCAGCCAACGCCATAGTAATACCATGGAGATTTTTGACATTTATACCATGATAGTTCCTTGGTATTATTTGAAATACCTGTGGAGTACCACAATAGTACCATCTTACTATACAGGCTGTTAGAACAGATTATGGAACAGCCAACGAGAATGTATAGGAAAGTACTTTGGAGTAACATGTGTATATATAACATGGTTCATTATAGTAGTAACCATTTAGTACTATGGGGTATTGAAGTCTATGGTGTCCATATGATGCAATTTAAAACCAACTGAGTACTGAACACAAGAACATGTCCTGTTTGAGACACCTTTTGGATAGCTAAAATAGGTCATTGTTGTCATCAGAGATTAAAGGTTGTGGTACACTTAAACAGATCTGTTCTTCTGAGATGGTTTTTTTTTTCTCCTCCACAGGAAAGAACAAAAGAACTCGCAGCTCTGCAGCCAGACATGTGAGAGAGCTTATTTCTTTCTGCAACCATTCTTCTTTCACTCGCCTCTCTGAAATAAGAGCAGGGAACTTAAAGGACGGCAGTAACTAGCTCATTATCACCCATGGTGCTGTGGGTGCTCAATTCACTTTTGTTTTCTCTGTGGTGCCCAATCATGACCAGAGACAAGGCCACTTGAGTATGTCATTAACTGTTGAAGTGTACAGTAATAAATCTGTCTACAGACAGCAGTGCTAAAGTGGTTCAGGCTCTGATTGTCTCGTGTGCAAATTGCAGATTTGGGTAGCAGAGAGCTGGCATTTTCTATCAGTTGATGTTTTCTGCTCAGTCTACATCCTGATTTTTTATCTTTTCCATTCATATTGTGGTGAGGTATACAGCTTAGTGGTTAAAATGGAAGTACTAAACGGGGGAAATTAACCTCAACATCTTTGATTTTTTGATTATGGCTTGCTTGCTTGCTTTTTGGTGCTATTCAAAGTCTAGAAGCAAAAAAAAACAAAAAAACAGATCACTTGTTTTGCAAGTGTTTAGGCATAGAAGGTTGTGAAGCCACTGGCATCATTGCACCAAGTTAAACCAGCTTTTCTTTGTCTTATTTAATTAGTTGTTAAGGTGGTTGGTTGGTTGGTTAGACTTTTAGACAGACAGATGTTTGGTTTGGTTGATTAGATGGATGGATGGATGGTTGGACAGACAGACAGATACATAAATGTTTATATGGATGGTTGATGATTGATTGTAAATTGGTTGGTTGGTTAGAGAGATAAATGAATAGATGTATGGTTGGATATAAATGGTTAGACATAATGATATGGTGATTGGTTTGTTTGTTGGACAGACATGTAGACAGACAGAAAGGTTGATAGATGGATGGCTAGTTAGACAAAATGACATAAATGTAAAGCTGGACAATTGGTTGGACAGACCAATCAATAGGTGTATGTAGACAGACAGATGATTGGTTAGTTTGTTGGATGTATAGAAATTTTGATGGATAGACACATAGCTGGATAGATCGTTGGTTAGACAGACAGAAAGATAGTTGGTTGCTGGGTTGGTTGGACAGACATATAATAAAAAAAAGTTACAGAGGTAAATGGTTGGTTGGTTGATTATTTTCAGCAGATATTTAGACTGACAGGCCAAAAGGTAGATGTATGGTTGGTTAGACAAATGGATAGCTATATGGTTGAACAAGCTTATAGATGGGTGTTCATAGACAGATAGATGTCTGGTTGGTTGGATGTACAGTTATCTTTATGTATAGATGGTTGGTTGGTTAGTCAGACAGATGAAGGGATGGCTGTTTAGATTGCTGGTTGATTGGTTAGACAGGTAAGTGGATGGTTGTTTAGATATTTGGTTGCTTGGTTTGGAGAATCAATGTTTGGTTGGTCTGATAAAGAATGGATGATTCTTTGTTGGATAGGCAGACAGATGGATGGCTGAATAAATGAATGTATAACGTGTAACCATTGTGCTTACTATGCTACAGAAGCACTGGTGATACGTCAGCAGAGCAGCATGTGTTGAACATCAAGGATCTGATCCGAGGCCTACAGCCGCTGGTGCTGTGGATGTCCAACTCCATTGAGCTGCTGCACTTCATCCAACATGAGGTCCCCCTGCTCTTAACATGGAGACAGCAGGACAGACAGGAAATGGACAAAGGTACGAGCCTTCGCTCTGTGTTGTCCTAAATTATACTAAATATGTGTTCGATCACTGTGACACATGGCCTCTTTGGCTTGTTGCTTAAGTTATTGGTTCATTTCAGCTTTTTGTCACAGAACAAAAGAATGCTGGTACTTGAGGTCTTTTGTGAATGTGCAATCCTGCACCTGATCCTGTCAGTCTAAATATCTTCATGTCTCCATCTGCTCAGAATCAATGAATTGTCAGATCCAGTCCACACGTGCTGCCAGTGAGGAGGCCATGACAGTCCTAGAGGAAGTCATCATGTTCACCTTCCAGCAGTGTGTCTACTATCTCACTAAAGTAAGTACAAATGAAAGACCATTATCTATTTAAAGTTTTTGTGTGGTTAAGTACTATATTTAGTATTTTACTACTAAAAGTATAACTTTTTACTAATTGTTCTTGATACGTAATGTTTATATTACATTAAATATGTTCCACCTATCCCTAAAGGATGTAAAATATGTGAAACAGGACATAACCGTGTAAACACCATTTTGCGCTTCCAGTCTGTAAGCCAAAATAAAGTCATAACAAAGCAGTGGAGACCTAGGGATTGGCCATAGCCATCGGTGAGCAAGATAACTTGTCCTCTCCTCCCAAAAGAATCGAAAATAAACACGTTAACAGTGTATTTTCTCAAGGCTCAAGTTAATGACAAATCCCTGCCTCTCTTAAACGAGTGTGGAATATTTTGGAACACGATGTTGACAACATTTATTTTCATGCTGTAGTTGTCCTTGATAAATGTCTTAAAGACATTGTTCAATCAGACTGAAATTGTTATTTTCTGTCTATTGTTATTTTCTCCATGGAACATAAGGAGAATTGCTTTAGTTTTCAATAAACTATTCCTTTAATGTTTTATATGCCTCCTTGGGAACTAAAACAAAAATCATAATAAATGGTGGTGATTGAAATAAACCTGAAATAAAATAACATGTAAATAAAATAATAATAAAAAAAACCTAACTTAAAAAAATGTGTAATGTTTAAATAAAAGAACTGAAGTATGTTAGTAAGCTGAAGTACTGAAACTACTAATACTAAAACTAAAATAACTATAATTTAATGCTAAACAGAAATATATAAAAATATAATAAAAATGTAAAATGCACATATCAACAGTACTAAAACTTAAACTGATATTAAAATAAAAAACTGACCATTTAAAAAAAAAGAGCTAATTAAAAATATGAATAACGCTACTGTATAACAGTATATAAGCAGTGCTAAAATAACACTTAACGAAACGTCATGAAACTCATTCTCTATTAAATTATGTCAGAGTTATTATTGCATCAGTTCAGTGGTGCAGAAAATCCTGCAGGTGATGAAGTCACCTTGAAGTTCGGACTAGTTGAAGACAAGAAATTCCAAATATGTGACTCATTTGTTGCAGATTAACTTTGTGGATAAATAGTGAAAGGTTATGTCTTTCACGGTCCAGGCACTCCAGTCTTGTCCTAGAAAACAACTGACATATCAGGGGTTAAGAGGACTGTCAGTGGAGCAGACAGGAAGGCCATAGTTACCCATCCTCTGCCTGACGGGGAAGCAGCTGTGGACCTCCACATTTGGACTCAGAGAGTTCATCTGTTTCCTGAGCAGGAAATATTCTGTTCTCATCACCAGAACGGGAGAGGAGTGTCCAGTTAAAGCAGTCATAATGCCCATCAGGAAATGAACAGTTACCAGGAGTTTAGTTTCTAAATCATTACCATAGAAATTTCCTTGTAGAAGCCAGTCTGACATCTGTTACCTGTGATGTCAGACTGTGTACGGTGATTGGTTGGTGACAGGAAATTGTATTTCCATGGTAAAAAAGCATACAGATCATTAAACACGTTGTAATTAAGAGCATTAACTTCTTTTCTGTTAACATCTGTTGGGAATGGTTTTATCATATCATTAGGTATTTCCATTGTATATCAGTTGTTGTGAATGGTGGGAATGGTGGGCAAGAATGTGTCAGTGATGAGTCATGGGGGCGGGACCTTTGGCTCTGGTTAGTTTCTCAATGACCTCATATGGCTGCAGTGCATGGAGTGTGATGAGTGTGAACCACTTATTTCGGCTTCATTAACCTCTGCTGTGCCTTGAAAAATTGGCAGTGTGTTTTTGTGTGTGTGTGCAGGGCCGTCCTTAGGGGGGCCCCAAGAGGCCCCCC